CCGTGAGCGTTGAATGGACTTGGACCGAGGATGATCCCCTAGAAGTGCATGCCGCCAAACTACAAAATATTCACCATAATGGTAAGACTACTCAGAGTGAGAGTAATATAGATAGTAATATGCTTGTCACATCAACAAAGAAGATGATGTGACAAGTAATTAAAAAGAAGAGAGATAAATGAAGTAACATAATATATGGTATCATCACATAGAACCTCCCAATAAACTGAATCTATAAAATAACATATGACACTACCGACTATGAAAGTAGTAACATAACATTAGGAGCGTTGTTTAGGCTCTTGGGAGCATATGCTCCGGGATGAACAGTAAGTTTAAAACAAATAGTAAACATATTTTAAAAATTCTGATTTTTTTGTGTGGACGTTCATGTTAGTCTAATGAGCGTGCTTGATAATTTTCATGCGAAACGAAAAGCACTGCTTCATTGATGAAAGAAACAAAATTAAGTGTAACATTTGGTATTCAATTTTTCAGCACATTCAGAATTCTTAAGATTTTCCACTAAGAATCTGCGGGTAGCATTTGGGTGTGATAATGAATACATCTATTTATTTTAGAAAAAAATGACATTTGCAAAAAACAATTTTGTCGGGCAAGAGCATATGCTCCCAAGAAACAAATTGGATTTCTATAACATAAACTAGCAATATATGCATGTTACTAGTCAAGTTACTCACCACTATGCCCAATCCAAGGAAATATTCTAACTCCACAAAAGATCAAACAAACAGAAGCAACATGACACAATAACATAAGCTCATCAGATCCGAATAATTAGCTCTGCGAGGACACACACCTCTCTCCATGGCATCGCCAGGAACCCGGGTCATTTTATTTAAAAAAAAGCACCACAATGAACAATAGATGCCGACCAAGACCACAAATTTCTTGAAGATCTGAGGTCCCCTCACCTTTCAGCACCAAGATAGCAGCCGAAGGTGAGGGGACCAAAAGTTCCTCTGGTGGCAGCTGCTAGGACTCCGTTTCTTTTCTCTGGTATGGCTGGTCTATTGTTTTCACTAGAAACACTCCATATATTGATTAAGAAAGAAATTATATAATCATTCAGTACACAATACATTACGCAGAATGAAACACCCACAGCTGAGGGCATCCCCAAGGCAAAACCTCAAAGAGAGTCCTTATTTGTCCACGAACAATTTTTGAACTCGCTCAGGGACATCTGCTAGGAGTGTGGGTACCCAACGGTGTGCGTTACTTGTGCGCTGCATCGAGGAGAGAGGGAGAAAAGTGGGGTTGTGGTAAGGCTAGGTGAGAGAGTTAGCGGTTGAGTAGAAATAATGGGATTGTGGTTGGACCATCACGGAGGTGACAGACATATGAAATGGTGGATATCGGATAGTCCAGATTGTGTGGGACGAGATAAGGGGTCCAACTTATGGGCGAGAAATGGGGGAGTCCATTAGAAATGCCCTAACAACACATCAACTCTTTAGAAGTTATAAAAAATCTACCAATAAGCTACTTTGCTCTTGTCACAAACGATATTCACCAAGGAAAATTTAGGAATACATTGAAAGATTCCGAATGCACATCTCTTCAAATCAATGAGAACTGACCTATGTAAAACATTATCAGGCAAATAATTTTTCACAAATAGACAACAGTCTCCATGAAGATAGGCTTATGCATGACGACCACTATATAAAACCCTACTAAAAAAGTTCGAAGTTTCATTTCCTCTACAATTGCAAAGATTGGATGGAAATCCAAAGAAGATAGAAGCACCACCCCTTCATGATCTCTAGCCACCACGCTGGCGCTAGCAAAAGCTTCATCGCAATGAAGCTTGTATCAACATTAATCTTTATCGGCCCCTCATTTGGCACCTCCCATTTTGCATATTGTAAATCACACAAAAAGAATGCCAACCTAGTGGACTATTCCTTTACATATATCAAGCATGAACAAACAGAATTTGTTGATGCTCCATTTGTAGTCCACATATTGTCCAAAACAGTAAACGATGCCTCAATATAAGCCTTTTCATATCCAAAAAGCACATTATTCTTGAAAAGCAATGCTCTCCAAAGCAAACAACGAGGGTTATTTTTATTTGTAGGATTTTAAGAACACGTTAAATAGAAAAACATAGGTGTAAGATAGAATTGTGCTAAATAAAGGATTGTGAATACATATGATTGTGCTGAATCGGGTTTTAGTTTTAGGAGTAGAAAAAACGCAGTAATCCCAACAATGGATGGTGAGGATAAGGTTAAAGATGGCCCTGTTTGGTCCATGGGTTAAAGTTAGTTTGAGCTAGTTTAGGCTCAAATATCCCTCGAGTATCCAAACATGAGGACTAGTTTGAGCTAGTTGCATCTAACCCACCCAAAAAAAACTATCCCACTCAAGAGGTGCTAATTGGAGCTAGTTCTCCTATTGTATTTATTGCCAATCTAACCTTGTCATCCAAACACCTATTTGGCTAGAGTTAGTTCAGGGTTAGTCATAAGCTAGAAACTAACTCTAACCTCTAGCTAAGTTAGAGTATCCAAACAGGGCCAATATGCAAGATTGAGATGGAGTTAATATTGTGCTACTTGTGAAATTTGCCTTGTTCTTTGTGCATAAGAATGCAAAAAAAGGAGGCTTGAATGGATTGTAAAAGTATATTGTTTTTCTATGAAACTCAATTCAATGAAAAATTATTTATTTATCTTATGGTCCATTCCTTTGAGTAAAATGGAAGAATAGTATCACCATATGAACATTTCATGTTCATAAATGTTCATATAATTTCCGTTCACTTCTCCTATGAATAAAAGAGGCCCCAAACCATGGAGGGTTGGTGACTGCTAACCACGGAGTGCTTGTTTGTGCTTGCAAAAGTGTTAAGTTCATGGGCTACTTTATTACACTTCCTTTAACCGCATCTCCGAAAAAGGGCCCACCAATTTCCTCCCTCATGAATCAAGTAGCAGATCAAAATACCTGGCCACCGTGCACCATTCTAAATGATGTTGCCACCGCGACACAATAGGTCTCCAAAATGTCTGACATATTAGCATACCAAATATGGTCTCATTCCTCCAATCTATGCTAGGGACTTGGCTTCTTTTGCATTTGAGCAACTCAAATTGTAACTCCAAGCAGTGAATAATACCTCATTCGGACACCATCCTTATACATGATTGTTTAGCAACAACACTAAAAACCTACATCACATATAGTTTTTCTCATGTCTCACATGGGACCTTGCACTTCAGTGTCGATCTATGGGTAGCGTTCTTTTTAGGACCAACATACCCAACCTCAAGACTCAAGAGATGACTTTTTTTTAGTTCTACCACTGGGCCATGATTTGAACTAGAGGGTAACACGCGTTTTGCCGCGCCATTATTCGGTTTTGGAATAAGTTCTATTTTTGTCTGAATAGTTATTGTGACAATTCACATTCCATGCATAATGTGGAGGCAGGCCCTATTACGTTATCCATGTAAGCAAGTCCTTCCAGTTTTGGAATGTTTTGTTCATCTTTTTTTTATTTTTTATTTTCCTTATTTTATTTTCCTATTTGTTTTTATGTTTCTTTTTTTCAAATTTATGAATATTCCTTGAATTCAAGAACATAATTTTAATTCTTTAACATATTTTAAAATTCATAAATGGTTTATTCAAAATCATGGACATTTAACAAAAATCTGTGAATGATTTTAAAATTTACAAACATTTATTTAAAACTGCCAATATTATTTAAAAATCATGAGCATTAAAAACATAATGAATAATTATAAATCTCGTGAACATTTTTTAGATTCATGATTGTTTTTCATATTCTTGAAGAATATATAAATTTATGAACATTGTTTAAATTCGTGATGTTTTTAAAAAAATTGCCAACATTTTCAAATTTACAAAAAAATATCTTTAATGTTTATAATATTTTTTGCAAAATATATTATAATAGAATTTGGTTTCATTACGTCCTCCATGCACACAAAAAAGTCAAATATAAAAAAGCTGAACTTTGAAGCGGACCACACGCACCAAATCATCCTCCATGCACACAAAAAAGTCAAATGTTTCTGAATTTCTTTTATATTGTTTTTAAATATCTCTCTTAACTAGGTGCAGATAGGCCGGGTTCAGAAATGAATATTTGCTAAATATTGCTCTACTCTCTCTGTCCATGAATAAGTGTACATCTAATTTTTGTTTTAAGTCAAAGTCTTAAAATTTTAACCAACTTTATTGAAAATATTAGTAATATATATGACCTCAAATTGATATATTATGAAATGTAAGTCAAAGTCTTAAAATTTTAACCAACTTTATTGAAAATATTAGTAATATATATGACATCAAATTGATATATTATGAAATACATTTCAAAACGGATCTAGTACTATTTTCTAAAAATGTGGTTAAAATTTTAAAACTTTCGCTAAAGACAAAAGCTTCGCGGATGGAGGGAGTACATGTTACGGTTGCACTTTATGTACTTCGTACGTTTTAAATTTGAACTAAAACCACAACGAGTAATTTGAAACAGAGATAATACATTTTATGGGAGTCATTTTTGCTTTATCTTCTGAATTTTACTATTGGATGGCTGAAATCATTGGTCAGACTAAAAACTTTAGGCCAGATCCTTTTAATATGACCTTCTTTCCCATGCATTCGGGTACTCCACGTCAGATTCCGCAATATACGATCGATCACTTCCAATGTCCTTTAGCCAAAATGTGCAATTAATTTGAGTTGATGAACTAACGACACATTTCACTTTATTTTCAAATAAAAGCTCCAGAAAAAACGTTTAAAACGAAATAGGGACTCTTTTTTTACTAGAATCGTACGTGAGCAAATTATGAGTACATTATCAAGGCACGCAGCCGATCACAGACGAGGCACAAGCTGCAGAACAGAGGACAAGACAACCAAAACCACGGTACAACGCTGATACAAACTAGTGCATCCAGACCCGACTGTACCACGACGCCGTAGACCCGTCACGCGGTGCTGTCGATGGCCATAGGCTGTGCGTCCTGCTTCCCGGCGGCGTTCTCCGTCTTCCTCCATTTGGCGAACATGTTACCGTAGAACTTGGCGTCCCTCTTGTTGTACTCCCTCAGCTTGTCCTTCAACGCCTTGTACGCAACCTTCACCTCCCTGGGGCAGAAACAAACATGAAAAATCAGCCATAATCCATAGGTGAAATCGATACGATATTTGTAGCCTTGTTGATCTCCAGAGAGATGGAAGGTGCCTCTACCTGTTGTCTGGGTCGATCTCCAGAGCCTTCTTGATATCTAGCTCTGCCAGCTCCAGATCCACGAGCTCGGTGTACGCCTGCGCCCTCCGGTACAGAGCCTTGACGTTTGTGCTCTCCAGTTCCAAAACCTGATCAATAATGCCACCGTCTAGGATCATGTGGTGTGTTGTTGATTGGTTGCACTGATGAAACCCTCGTACTCGAAAGGTAACACTAACCTTGGTGCAGAGCTTCTCTGCTTCTTTGTAATCCTTTAGCTTCAGCTTGCACGCTGCGTTGTTTAGCTTGATGCTGATCTTCACTGCCTTGGATTGCTTCTTCTCATCCTCGCTGAAGGAGCTGTCGTACTCAATGTACTTCGCAGCCTGTTCCCAAGGACAAGACAAAGATGCACATCTATGTCAGTCAGGAACTCAATTCCGTATCAATACGTTTTTCACAGGACGAGACTTTTAGTTGAGAGACCCATGCCCTTTATTTACCTTCTCATATCTCTTGGAAGCCTTGGCGTACTTGCCCATCTTAAACCACGCATTTCCTTCATCTTTCTTTTTAGCAGCTGCTTCGATCTTCTCAGCATTACTCTTCAAGTCCCAAGATTCTTTCTCCTGAAACAGTAACACGAACATGCGTTCACTTTCTGACAGCAGTAGAGACGGTCAGACGGATATGTAAACAACAGACAAAGTAACCACCACAGTTAGTACCTTGTCGAAGGAAACAATCTCCACTTCATAGAAGACGGTGGAGTTGGGAGGAACCACAGCAAGATCAAGCTTCGTCTCGGTGGATCCGAACGCATGTTCAGGTGGTATTCTAGCTGACGCGACCTCTCCTTTCTTCATGGTGAGCACCGTCGTGTCCAGCCCTTCGATGACCTGCTCCTCATCCGTCCTGAACTCGAATGGTTCGTCGCCTTCATGTCCTTTCTTCGTGAACACAGTGCCGTCGTCCAACTTGCCGATCAGCCTCACTGCAAGCAACAAGTAACACAAGATTAACTTGTCTGACAATTTTCACGAGGTTATGCATGCATGAATTAGCAGTGCGCCGCGCACCACTCACAACTGCCCCGTCGTTGGGGCGCTCGTAGCCTGCTCCTTCCTTGAGCACCTTCTTCAAGATCCTCTTGTCTTCACCGATGAGGGTGACCGTCTTCCAGGAGACTAGCTCAAGATCGATATGCAATGTGGAATTCGGGGGCACGGCGCCTTCAACTTCAGAAGCCGGCCTTCCTTGCTCGCCAAAACCATCTGTCCGTCATAAGATGCAGCACATATCAATTTATGAAGCCAGTCAGAAACTTTTGGAGTACAGCAAGGGTAACAGATTTGAGGAGAGATGGCTCACATTGTGGCTTGACGGTCAGGAGGACCTTCTCGCCCTTCTTCATGGTCTTGACGGCTTTGGAAAGTGCCGGGCAGAAGTAACCTGTAATTTTAAAGGGAGAATTGTGCATCAGCGATTCAGAGCTAAATCCTGCTGTTCAATTTGCCAAGGCTAACTGGATTGACTAGATACGAACCATCCTTCACTGCGAATTCAATACCCTCTGACTTGGACACGACCGATCCATCCTCGAGTCTGGCCTCGTACTTGACTGCGTGAGCAAACATGGAACATGTCAGAGAGGTGACAACGCGCGTAGCAAGAGCAGATCGATAACCATTTCATTGAAATTATACATCAGTTCACCATTTCGTTGGAATATACCGACGTACATTCCAGTTCGGCAACCCAAAATCATTAGGTTCCATTAAAAAAATCCGATATCAAATTTATTTCGTTAGCTAATTTCAGACGACAGTTTGGGATGTTTAGCAGAACACAAGTCAGAATCAAAAAATATTCAGTAATTTGGTCGAAACCCAGTTACTAGACACAACGTACCAGTAACTTCGTCCAGATCCTTGGGATTCTCCCATTTCTGACCCTCGACGAGGACCTTCTTGAAGATGCCGCCGTCCTTGCAGATGTCCTTGACGCTGGCCCACGAGAGGAGCTCGACGTCGAACCGGAGCGTCGCGTTGGGCGGGATCGTGGGCGGGGAGCCCGCCTCGCCGTACGCGAGGTCCGGCGGGATGGTGAGGACGGCGTTCTCGCCTTTCTTCATGGTCTTGATGCCCTGGTCCCATCCCTTGATCACCTGCCCCTGCCCGAGCTTGAACTTGAAGGGAGTCCCGCGGTCTCGGCTCGAATCGAACTTGGCCCCGTCGAGGAGAGTGCCCGTGTAGTGCACTGCCATACAACATTCGTTCATTCCGGTTATCATCTATCTGTTGGGTCTGATGTTGCGTGACAACTAGGGTGATCAGATGCAGAGGGGACAGCCGTGCCGTGATCCATACCTTCGACCTCGTCGCCGGTTTCGGGCCGTTCCCAGCCCTCGCCCTCCTTGACGAGCTTCTTCTTCAGCCCCTGCTTCCCGATCTCCTTCTCCTCGCCGACCTTCATCGTCGCCGGGGAGTCGGCCTCCTCCTCGTCGTCCATGGGCTCGCCGTCCGGCTCATTCATCATGGCGTCGTCCTCCTCTTCGAACGCCCTCAGCGTCTCATCCTCCACGGCGGCCATTGTTGGTTCGGTTCGTGGACGCGAAAGGCTCTCTAGGTGGAATGCAAAAAGATGAAGCGATTAACGGGTGCGCGCTCGCTCGCGATCTGTGTCTCTGTGCGTTCTGGATGTTGTTTGCAGCCAGAGCATGGCGCGGCTCGGATCGTTGGCTTCTTATATGGCGGGCGGAGCAGAGATTGTTGCGTTCAACGATGTGATGTTCTAGAGGGTTCCTGTTCCTGTGAGAGAGGGTTGGATTGGGAGATGCTTCCAGATCAGATCAGGGTCGGTGGGGAGCGGGGGCGCGAGAGCTTTGGAAGGCAGTGGATGCTTCCAGAGATGCAGGGGAAGGACCCAGTCGTCGTTGGTTTCACTTTGTGGGCCTGGACTATCTGCATTTCTTTCCTGGAAGATAGTTTTGACAACTGGGCTGCAACAAACAGTGTGAAGAGTTGGGTTGGGTTGGGCCTTCCCTCTGATGTCAGCCGATCCAAAGACCGTGTCTTTGCATATTTGAAGAAAAACAGAATTTGAAAAAGTTTTCAAGGTTGGGTACAGAAATGCATAGCTGGGGGCCTGGGGCTAGGAGTTGCAAGAAAACTTCCATCAAGTCACTGGTGCAAGTAATCACTACATACTCGATGGCAGAGTTTTTTTTCCTAAAAAAAGAGGCAAAAGCTTAGCCCCATCCATTAATTAAACAGAAGAGAGTTCACAGTTAATTAATAGGATACCGAGTGAAAATCATCACAAACCGCTGAGCGGCACTCGCACAATACCCCACGCACACCTCACATAGAGGCCCTCGCCAAGATCGCACACCGAAGTCATCATCATCACTTCTCCCTAACATGCGTCATCGCCCTCCCTAATATCTGAGCAAGCGACCCCGACTTCAGCGAAGACGAACATCGACCCAACCCTCACCGTAGAGGTTGTACAGAAACACAAGAAGGCATGTGCCACACTAAGACACCCACACTAAGGGAAGCGCAGCTCCAACTCTGAAGGATAGTTTAGAAGAAGAAGAACTATGCAAGGTTGGAGCCATGAAAGACCACCGAACAGACCATTTGTAGCATGTCATCGTCGCCACTAACAATATATATAGGGGTGTGTGTGGAGGAGCATCATATCTACAAGAAATGGAGATGGGAGTACACACAAGAAAATTAGACAGGTTCGGCCCCTCTACTCTAGAGGTAATACCCTACTTATGTGTGTGGTGTTCTTGCTCTTGCATGTAGCATTATAGGTGTGTTCAACCCTAAGCCCGGTGCCCTCCTCCCCACATATATAGAGTGCGTCGGGAGGTGTGTAGGATCGAAAGTATGTCTAAAGGGGGATGATTAGACTACTTGACCAAATAAAAAACTTGTCATTTCCCAATTTTAGTTTTAGGCAAGTTTTAGCATTTCTACCAAGTCAAGCAGCACCCTACACATGCAAGTCTAAGAGTTGTGCAACGGAAAGTAAAGTCTTTGCATATGAACGTAAATGAGGGATCGGAGAAGTCAAGCAATGAAGATACGGTGATTTTTGGCGTGGTTCCGATATGTCCATGTTGAAGGGGACTTCAACCTATGGAGGGTAACAGCTGCGCGAGTCTACGGAGGGCTTCACCCACGAAGGGTCCATGAAGAAGCAACCTTGTCTATTCCACCATGACTTACGTCCATGAAGGACTAGCCTCACTCGGGGTAGATCTTCACGAAGTAGGCGATCTCGTTGCCCTTACAAACTCATTGGTTCAACTCCACATGATCTTGGAGGCTTCCAAGTGACACGTAATCAATCTAGGAGACACAACTCTCCAAAAGGTAATAGATGGTGTTGTTGACAATGAACTCTTTGCTCTTGTTCTTCAAAAGATAGTCTCCTCAACACTCAACCACTCTCTCACAGATTTGGCTTTGGTAGGATAAGGATTGGAGTGGAAAGCAACTTGGGGAGGCTAGAAATCAAGGTTCAAATGGTTGTATTGGAATGCCTTGATCTCAACACATGAGTATGTGGTTCTCTCTCAAAAAATGAATGGTGGAAGTGTAGTTTCGTTCGGATGGATCCTTCCAAGAGAAAGTGGGGGTGGAGGCGTATAAGTATCCTTCACCAAGAATTCAACCGTTACAACCTTTTGACTCAACTCGGTGGCACCGAAACAAAAAATCTCAATGAGACCGACCTGTGTAAAAGATTCGAACGTTGGCTTTTTTGTGAGACCAAATGGAACAACTTGGTGGGACCAATGTACGATGACCTAAGCAAGACCTCATTTTGGTAATTCCAATTGAAACATCTCAGTAATTCTAAAATAATGTAAAAGGGTTAGAGAAACTTGGTGCAAATCGGTGGGACCGATCGTCATCTCGGTGGAACCGATGTTCTAGGGTTTGGCTGTGGCTCTGTCTAGGATCAATTCGGTGGGTCCGGATGAAGAGGTTTCAGTGGGACCGAGTTAGACTTTTAGGGTTTGGACAGATAGGATTTGAAGAAGGTGGTTGAGGGTTTTTGGAGCAATATCTTCAAGCACTTGAACAATTGAGTCATGATCAAAACCTCACCCCCCTTTTAATAGTATTATCTTTCCTATGGACTCAATGTGATCTTGGATCACTTAACCAAAAATGTAGAATCTTGAAGGTTTTTCCAATTCATGTCCTTAGCATTTTGAGGAGTCCACTTTCTCATGTCCTTGCCATGCCAACATCGAATTTCATGGAATCTATCTTTGAATAGGCATTACTTCAATGACATATATGTTGTTATTAATTACCAAAACCACACAGGGATTAGTTGCACTTTCAAGGTGAGGTAACATGCTGGCATAAATGCTAGTAATAATGGCCATGCACGACCGACTGTCGCAATTAACTAGATATTGCACAGTTCGTAAACGACTGTACTTAATACGTGACATCTTCGCTGGCCAACTGGTCGACTAGTGATCTTTGCCCAACTCGAGGAAATGATGCCCGACTATAGGCTTGACACTGACTAGAGGAAATGATGCCCGACTATAGGCTTTGGCTAGGGATTTTTTTCGTCATCTTGGTTGTCGAAGCGGAAGTTTTCCTCTCTTCGTCTTGATGCCTTGGTATTTATACCCGACCGTAGGTCAATTGGATGCCTTCCTTCCCGGATGTCATGGTCACAAACGGCTTGACCTTTCCTTGTCGTTGTTTCACCTATCTCTTTTTGGGGAGCCCATGGGTGCCTACTCGCTCCTTTCCTTTTAGGTCATGGACTCTTGATAGGATTGATTTTGAGGTTTCCAGAATGTTCTTCCAGACTCAAGCACAACAGAGGTGGATTCGATACCATCTCGCATTGACACTTCATTATCAAAGGCATGACAAAACTACTAGACTAAAAAACATGCGTCCCTTCAATTATCCATGAAAACCAAACATATTTTTTTTCTGGTCAAAACAATGCTCAAAACTTTGTCTTTTGCTGCGACTTGGTGCTACGACCTGGCCAGCTCCCGCCACTTGCAGTAACCACCAACAATGGTTATATAACTTGAGTTCCACAAGGTGCTCCTCCCTGTCTCTCCCGCCCTCTTCCTTTCTCTCTCTCAGAGTGACTACTCTCCATACTTAGACACCGTGGTTTCCCCGAAACTTTCTGGTCATGGATCTATGACGTATTATCAACCTACACAACAGTCATTATAAATGGGGTTCCAGGAGACCAGATAAACTGCAAAAATGGTCTCAGGAACGATACCCCTCTCACCTTATCTCTATATCATTGTAGCTGACTTGGTACAACAAAATACACAGCTTCATAAATTGCACCACCTCATCTTCATCCACAACTCTCTAATACGCCGCTGATACACTCATCATTGCACGTGCATCCCCGCTTGTAGTCCTACACTTAAATCCGTATGAAATGACTTTTCCTTAGCTACATGGTCGAATTTAAACTTCTGCAAAACTACTTTTGTCGCCATGCACGCAACGCCCGTGCTAGGGAATGACATTGCCAACATATTGTACTGCCAGGTATCCATTTCCAAAAAATTTACCTATGTCTACCCATCTCGTCAACTCGACTACCACCCAGTGCCCTTCTCCCATAATCCAAAGATCCAAAAAATTCCTCTCGGGGTGGTGAGCTAAGATACTCTCTAAAGGGGACCGACTAATCCTTCTCTCATGAGTTACCGATTCACTAGCAACTTACTGTGTTTGTTTTCCAGATCGTAGAAAATGTCCTCGAAACTATTGATGCTTTTCGTCGTGCCTTTTTATCGGGGTATGGAAGAAACTTATACTGGTGCTCAGTGCTTAATTGCTCTGAATAATGTGTGTAAACCAAAAAAGTTTAGTTGTCTCGGATTAAAAAACTGCCAACAAAATAATTGCATTCTCTTGAAATTCATAGTAAAATCTCTATCACAAGATACTCCACCTTGGCTTTACTAGCTCCATTTACAACACCCAAATGCTTTTATTTCTTCACAAAACAAGAAATCCTTCCTTTACACAAGTCAATAAGCAAATGTCCACCCTACTAAACATTTCTTTTGTTTTAACAACTTCTAGCGCTAATAGCTACTCTTTGCTTGATACTTGGTTCATCATTAACCATTATGTATAGCTTTTCTAAACTCTTTCTCCCATGCTACCAAGTAGTTCATCAGAGTGGCGACCATACTCAACTTTGGTTTAGAATTGTGCTTGCAAAATTGCTTCCTAATGTTGCCATAAAAATGGCCTCTCTCTCTCTTTATCCCTCTCTCTCTCTGAATGACTACTCTCCATACTTAGACACCATGGTTTCCCTGAAACTTTCTAGTCATGGATCTATGACGTATTGTCAACCTACACATCAGTCATTCTAAAGGGATTCCAAAAGACTGAATAAATTGTCGAAATGGTCTCAGGCAATGATACCCCTCTCATCTTATCTCTATATCATTGTAGATGACTTGGTCCAACAAAAGATCTAAGAAAATACCTATCTTCATAACTAGCACCACCGCATCTTCACCCACAACTCTCTAATTGTTG